AGTCATAGAATTATTCTTTTTACATACGTCTTCCCTAGTAAAATGTAAGCCCTTTAAGGGAAGCAAGTATTATTTCATTTTTACCTCTGTAAATGCACAATGCATGGCACATAACAGATGTTTAATAAATGGTTATTGAATGACTGATTAGAAAAGAAAGTGTGCCAACTATAAGATAAGAAGTAGACCACTTAGAAGCTTTGCTGATACCCACAAAATGTTAAAATAAACAGAGGAAGGGCTCAAGACATTGAGCAAATTCTCCACATAAAAATTTGGACAAGAATTTCCCAAGAAAGCCTGGATGGCAATCTACTAAGGTACGGATGGAAACATTTGCAAACTACAACAGGGAAAGGAGTATCTATACCAATGAAATTAAAAATCCATTAAAGTATCAAAGAAAGGAGCATAGACTTTTAAATGCATCAGAGACCAGAGTTCTAGGGGGCTCAATAGGTAGAGCACTGGACCAGGAGTCAGGAAGACCTGAATGCAAATCCAGCCTTAAGACATTCACTTACTGTGTGACCTTGAGCAAGTCATGTAACCTCTGTCTGCCTTGCTTATCTACAAAGTGGAAATAATGACAGTGCTGTTCTGTCTTTACATCCCTAGCACCTAATACACGCCTGGTTGGAGGATGGAGGTGCTGCATGAATAAGGGATGAACTGGTAGATTTCATGGCCTGTTTTAGCCTCTGGAATCCCCCTTAAGGTATCACCTAGGTTAGGATCTCCTCAACTGTTCTGAAAAACAAAGGAAAAAAAATCTCCCAGGACCACAGTAAGGATTGAATGACATAATAACTGTAAAGTGCTTTGCAAAGCTTGAAATGCTTTATAAGTGTTAGCTATTAAGTTTAGTTTAGTTTAGCACTAAGTATTTAGGTTAGCACAGTGCCTGGCACATAGGAGTAATAAATATTTATTGACAGATTATTTCATAGAAACCTGTCTACAAGGCTTGAAAGGTTTTTAAAAAGGAGCGTTTCAGCTCCACCTAAAGGGCAATCATCTGATTCTGCATATTTTTCTATGTCCTCAATAACTCAGATTAGTATGAGTTATTTTCTACCTCCAACCCTACTGAAGCTTGAAATTTCTTTTTATTAAGAGAACAGAGGGGTGAGTCACTCTCCTCTAACCGAGCATGGGGTAAGGATCTGAATAGCACTGCATACAAGAAACTCAGGTAAAGAGATTGTGGTATCTTTGGAAATATATGTGTATTTCAAACCTCATGGAAGATCAGGCATTATGGAGTAGATTTACCCTTGATCACATAAGCACATATTTGGTATACTGTTGAGGGGCCTCCAAGGTAGGGATGGACTCGTGGCCTCTAAGCTTTACTTCAGTTCTGAGTTTTTGTGATTCTGTGATTTATACCCTGGCTCCTTCTTTCTGAAAAGCCATTACTTTTTAATATTCCAAAGTGGCTAGGTCACTTTCTATCTTCTCACATTTCCAAGGAAGCTCAATGATGCAGGGATGGGTTGTGGGGTTCATTTTCTTTTGTTTTTTTTCCTTTGTTTTTCAGAACAGTTGAGGAGATCTTAACCTAGGTGATGTCTGTATCTCAAGGGTAAAAGCTAAAGCAGGCCATGAAAGCTACCAGTTCATCCCTTATTCATGCAGTGCCTCTAACCTAGGATACAGGCATGTGCTAGGTGCTAGGGATGTAAAGACAAAAATGAAACAGTCCTTGCCCTCGAGGAGTTTACAGCCTATTAGGGAATACAATATATTCATATATGCGTACGTACGTTATAAGTAAAATATAAATGCAAGTTATTTTAAGGGGCACTAGAAGGTAAATATTCATTTCATAACAAAATACAGGCAAATTCATGCTTTAACACTATTGCAATGAAAACAAAGAATAATACTGATGATAATAATAGTAATATAACAATAATAATAGCTAACCTTTATATAGTACTTACTATGTGCCAGGCACTATGCTAAGCGCTTTACAATTATTATCTCATTTGTACCTCACAATAACCTTGGAGTTAGGTACTATCATTACCCCCATTTTATAGATTTAAAAAATGAGGTGGACAGACATTAAGTGATTTGCTCAGGGTCACACAATTAGTAAGTGTCAGGGGCTGAATGTGATTCCAGGCCCAACGTTTTATCTACTACGTCACCTTGTTGTTGTTCAGTAATTAAGGTCTGTCCAACTCTTTAAGGCCCCATGGACCATACAGTCCATATGGGGTTTTCTGAGACAAGATACTGGACTGGTTTGCAATTTCTTTTTCTGTGCCACCTAAATGCCTCTAATTTCCATAAAATTTATTAGTTACTGAATTTAATAAGCATTTATGCAGCCCATTCTAAGTAAAAGGTACTGTGCCAACCACTGAGGATGCAAAGCTAGACATGACACAGAATCTACTCTCAATGAGGTTACATTCTAACTGAGGAAAAATATACTGTATACGAATAAGAATGATATAAGGAAGAGCAGGGGCAAATGCAAAGGTGAAAAGTTCAAGCAAAAACCTATGAGAAATTTCAGGAGAGTTCACTCTAACTTAGGGGTGGGGAGGGGATGAATTTTGGGAAATCTTCATAGGGAAAGTTCCTATTTGGATAATGAAGAAAAGACAGTAACCACTGGGGAGGGGAAACCCCATTTAGGGCAGTATGAACGAAGGCATAAAGACAAAAAAATGTAGGAGTATGTAGTAGTCCAGTTTGGCTGGAGTAGAGAATACATTAAAGACGACAATGTGGGAGGATTGGAAAAGTTGACTAAAGCTAGAGAGGGAAGGGTCTTAAATTCTAGGATCAGAAGTTTATGCTTTATGTGCTGTACAAATGGGAACTACTAATGCTTTCTGATTTAGGGAATGGAAGGATAATCATAGCATTGCAACAGGGAGTTTACTTGGGGCAGCGGTGTGATGGATGACGATGAGAAAGAACATCGGAATATCAATTATGAGGCTTTTATAATAATCTAGGTGAGAAAAGATGGCAACTTGAACCTGAGTGGTCTGCAATGGGATGAAGAGAGGAGATGGATTTGGGAGATATTAAGAAGAAAGAATCACTGAGATTTGGCAAATGATTGACTATGGAGAGTGAGGGAAAGGGAAGATACAAAGATGACAAGTCTAGAAAAATGAAATATGCCATGACACTCTTCAGTTTAATAAAGAGATATAAAGAGGTTAGGAGGAACAACAATTCTAGGAAGTTAAGAGATTAGTCTCCTTTTGGACATGTCCAGTTTTCAGTACTGGTAAGACAGCTATGTGGAGACAGTTAATAAGTGGCTGGGAAATAAGGGATGGAAACTTTGGGAATAATTAACGGACGAGTTATTCACAATAATGACAAGGGTCAAGAGAGGTTGGTATGATAGTCATGGCAATAAACACTAAAGGAGACATTACTGAATGGTGGCAAGAGCACAAGGGTCTGAAAGTGTCTTTGGTGAGTCAGTCGTATATGCTATGGGCTCTACACAACAAACAAACAAACAAAATTTCCAGGCTCTAGTAAATAATCTTCTTATCATAAGCAATTTTCAAGGTAACAAAATTCCAATATAGTTAAAGAATATGGAGTACTTTGGGAGTTTGCTTTAATGTAACAGAATCTGACATTTATATGTAATGGACTGCAGTTTAATATTTCAACTTAAGAAAACCCTGAGCAAGAAAAATGATTATTATCTACTGAGGACTCCAATAACATTCATTAAGAACACTGAACCCATGCACACACCAAGGAACGTCTCCATGTTCCTGTTCTCTATCTCATTTTAACTCACCTATCTGTAATACGATAATATTATCTGCTTTACATTACTGTAAAAGCTTGATTAACCCAAACCCAACAAACCAGAACAATCACTTAGCTTGTTTTTTTCTTCTTCTCTCTCTCTCTCTTACACACACACACACACACAAGCACACACACACTCTCTGTCTCTCACTTATAAGAGAAAAATGCAAATTGAAAGAAAATAAGCTGAGAACAGAGAATTATTCACAAATCAAATTGCACAATATGTCTTAGGTTCAGTACATATTCAGCCCAGTCTCCTACACCTCAATATCTGTCTATAGTCCTATTCAAAAATCACCAATGTCTGGAATGATAATCCTTAGGCACAACTCCTGCCTCACTCATCAAAGTCAATTTTGATGACATCCACTTACTTACCCAGAACTCATTATGACAGAAAAGATAACCATTACATTTCTGAAATATTTTCAACAATGAGGGTGGTGACATAAAAGTTTATCTGGCTAATTCTCAGTTTGGCAGAACATTAAAATAGCAAGACTACTCTCTCTGACTTGACCTTGCTAGTAAATTGTGTTTATTCTGCATTATTATATAATGGCAGCTATCGAAGGGTAGTTACACTTACAAAAATAGCATTC